TTTGCTTTCCAGCCGTTTTACGTTGCCTTCGAAGAAAAATTGGTAACTTTTCAGCTTCTTGTAGTTTGTGCCTTTTAGCACAATGTGGCGGTACTTGCGTGTAGACACGACAAGGTAATCGTACAGCTGAATAAAGTTCAGTTCTGGAAGCTGACGCAAGTCAGTAGACCATCCAAGAGCGGAGATTTGTCTTAGGATTTCGTCGTATTTGAAGTCGCCAGTGATTTCCACACTTTCCTGGGCGTTATCAGCCGGCGTTGTTACGTTCCGCATAAGCAAAGCGTACACTTTCAGCACCAAGTCCGCCTTTATTCCGCCGGCTCTTTCCGAATTACTCTTCAAAATATCCCTCAGATCTTTCACTGAGAGTTTCTGTATATCCTCAAGGGTCGTAATTTCCTTGTCTTTGTACTTTATGACCATTTTGATCGAAGAAAATAGCTACAGAGAGGAACGCGCGAGCAAAACAGCTGTGATTTCTCTTTGTTTGTGTTTCCCGGGTCAACGTTAGCCTCGATGTGGTGTTTGCGCGGTTGCTATTCCAAGATGGCGCCGGGAACTGTAAAAAGGGCTATTGAATAATGGCCCAGATTCTTACATTTCGTTTATCTGAATGCAATCGTTTTCAAAAACTTTAAAACCTCTAAAAGGTAACCAAATGTTTTTCTAGTCCCTGTGATCAAAAATCAGTTTTATAGCTCTTTAAAGGTTTTTTACATCTGCGGTTCAAATATAGTTTCCGTACCACAGACATGTTTTTGTGAAAAGCATAAATGTACAAATTAGTCACACTTTGTAGTCATGACCACTTCCAATTCCAGTTTAATCTAATTTTTTTATTCAATTGACCCTCTGAATGTTATTGTGAGTTTTTATACTGACAAGCTGTCCAGGCGGGAGATTGTTTAATTGCTCCTCAGAGACCCTAAAACGTCGTGGGAAACTTGCTACGCTGCAAAATATGGAATACACATGTGATCAAGTGAGTGTTTCATGATCCATGAAAAAGCATTCTTCGATCTACACTGAAATACCAGTCTCAATTGTCTCTTATTTTTAATTTCTAACGACAAAAAAATTTTTTGTCTGACCAGACTGGCTTTTTGTCAGGTCAAAACTTGTCCATGGCCTGACAAATGACCTGCTTATAGACAAAAATTATTTGCAGGCTTGTATAGATGATGCCCATTTTGGTCAACAGTGATGACGTCAGAAATGGAACAATGGCCAACGCTCATAATGGCCAGTTACAGGCAGCATGGGAGTCAATAGGTTAAAGTGTCCACTACAAAAGTTCTGGCTACTCTCTAGTATATAAATTCAAATCAAAACTGCATCTTAAAGCTTAAGGCCTTTACATTCACGTAAAATTAAAAATTACAACTTATTTGCTTGTTAATTCCTGCATGAATCAATAAGCTTGAGTAAAAATTGAATAGTACATGCAGAAGCAATAGGAAGTGGTAGTGGGATGCAAAAGCATAATTACACCTGTATATTGATTTTACCCAACAATGTGGCTGTGCCACGTATTCTACACTTTTTGCACTGAATATGAGCTACTTCTAAACTAAAAGCTGATCACTTAATGTACTTGCCTGATATTTAAGCATCAAGCTGAGGTAAGAGAAGCACTTTTGTAAGAGTTATGATGTAATGCATATTTGTCTGACCAAAATAGTTTCTTGTCCAAGTAAAAATAGATTTGACCGGACAACTTGACCCGCTCCAGCAGGGAAATAATTTCAAGCCCTGTTTGCACTGCACCGTAATATACTTTTTGCTTTTCTATATTGTTGGGGCAGGATATGCATTTTCTAAGGGATTAATAAGGACAAAAGGGATATTACCACATGTAAAAAAGCTCTTTGAGTACAAAATTTAATTTATACAAATTTATCTTACTTTGTAACTACAGTATGTAATAACCCAACTTGATCAACTTGCAAGTTGCTCCAATCTTTCTTTCTTATTTTTGGAGAAATAAAGTTGAGTTATTTGTTGTTAACGTTGTTTTAAAATAGCTAAAAGCTGATTACTGTTAAATTGCATGCAGATTATGTCACATTTTGTTCAAGCAAGTTGAGTAAGTCTAGTAAATAGAAGTACAGAAGTAACTGGTTTGCTGATTAAACTCAAAGGACTAAAAAATGCTCACTTCCATCTTGAATATTTTTGGAAGCAATTCTGGTCAGCTCTGTAGCCATATTGATGTCTTTCTCTTCATTGCACGATGGTGTTGACGTTGGAAAGTCATACTCCACAAAGTAAGTCCTGAGTTAAATGAAAAATAAACGAAGACAAAAAAATTTTAAAAGACAACCAACAAAAAAATAGTGGACATTCTTGTTGACTGAAATGTGTCCTTCACACCCCAAAAAACTAACATTAAAAAAGCAGGAGATCAAGGTTGAGGTAAAAATCGTATCATTATCAGCAATTAACTTCTGCTTGCATAAAGACTGTAGCCATTGTTACCACTGTGTACATCTGTAAGCTTGTCTCATTCAATAGGTTTTCTCCACTTTTAGCACTGACATTAAAAATATGCAACAGCGAATCTTCCTTACCCTGGTTTCGCATTTTGTCTAGAGATCCCAAGACTATCCACCATAACACGTGCAGCATCAACTCTCCCCAGAGCTGTGAGCTTCTCTGGACCCAGGTCTTCAAGGAAGGCATGAGAGTTTGGACTTAGTATCTTGCTCTTTGTTGCTGATGGAATCAACTCACTTGAATTATGACTTGAACTTTGTTTACCTGCACAAAGTAAGAAAAATACATTTGAAAAAGTACTAATAAACATAAATAAATATTTTAATTGACCACTTCACAATGATGCTTTTCAGGCTAATGTCAAAACATTCTGAAACAAATATAACAAATAAACATTGATTTCAACTGGCAACAGGCAGACCAGTTCACTATTTACAAAGCATAACTAAGGAACTGAACCCAAAACCACTGTGCACAAAATCCAGCTGGTGGCAAGGGGGAAGAGAATGTGGGACCTTCAGATTGCAAGACCAGCACCCTAAACCACCCAGCCATGCTGCCTCCTTCATCGTGGACTGGATATTTGCTTCGATGAATATAACTACCACGATTCCCGGCAGGTACGTCTCATAGAGGGAATTGGTCATTACTGTAATATATGGATTTCGCTAAGCCTAAAAGTGGAGCTCCTGGGCCAGGTTGTTGAAAGCCCAATTAAGCTAACCCAGGATAAGCGAGAATTTTGATTCGAGTTTTGTACCTTTGTGGTGAACTTTTTGTTTATATTGTTTGGCCTTCTGTTTTCAGTCTGAATAATCTCAAACTACACAACGTATACATGTAAGCTTTGGAAAACATTTTTATACAAGAAAACTCTATACTTTGGTTAACTTTTAATCCCGGGTTAGCATTTACTGGCTTCTGAACAACCCGGCCCTGATTATAGCAAGTTAACCTGGCTTGAGAGCACAATCCAGTAAAAAACCAGCACTTGGTCAGCAGTAAACTTCAAGAAAATTTTTGATCGCAATGAGCTCTAAACTTGAGCATGATTGATCATCGCAGTTATACACCCAACTTAAGCAGTTGTGAAATTAAAGCCTGAAAAAATTCAGGCCTGAACGGGATTCAAACCCATGACCACAGCGATACCAGTGTAGTGCTCTACCAACTGAGCTATCAAGCCACTGGGAGCTGGTCACATTGTTAGTTCGTAATATACCCATAGATGATGATCGCAGTTATTCACACAACTTAAACAGCAATATGACCAGCTCCCAGTGGCTTGATAGCTCAGTTGGTAGAGCACTGCACCAGTATTGCAGAGGTCATGGGTTTGAATCCCATTCAGGCCTGAATTTTTTTTCAGGCTTTAATTCCACAACTGCTTTAGTTGTGTGTATAACTATGATGATCAACCGCTATTGCTTTTTAATTAAGGGTTTATTTGTTGTTTACATTTCTTCATTCATTTGTTCATTTTATCCCTGCCCTCATTCATTCGAAAGCTGGAGCAACAAAAGTTGGTAGAAATATCACAGCATTCGACAACTGGCAATGCACTCTTCTTTTGCGTCCCAGGCTAGGAGACGGCTACCATTTCGGCAAAATGACACCGACTGTTGGTCAACATTCAGTCGACATATGAACCAAGTATCAGGCAATATATTGACCAACATGTGGTCGACATGTCAACAAGGGTTTTCAATACAGGCCAGCGGCCAACGAAGTCTGTATGTTCAGATGAAACCAGTAGGAGAAAATAAAGTAGTTAAGAACATCTACAGTTGCTTTGTGCTGCTCAATAGTCTTTGTTTAAAAAATTGTTATAATTATACATCATTTGCCCCAGATTGTAGAAATCCATTTTAAGATGTCCAAATTTTGAGAATCTGCCAGGTGGGACACCCTCCCGTACACCTCCACCCCAAGGTCATGTCTTCAGCTCAAGTTGTACCTTCACTGCCTACTCCTGAAGTTTTGCTGCCTACTCCAATTCTTATTATAATAAAGTTCCCATATAACGCGTGCTCTGATTGGCTGAAACAGCGTGCTTTATCAGAGAACAGAGCACGGGTTGATGACGGTAAGTTGGCCTCCAAATTTTTGCTTCGGAATTTTGACAAATCTGACCCAAATTAAACATCCCCTGTAACTCAGACAAACGCACTGGAAGCGAGCTATTTTTCTGCAGTAAATATGGCTCACAGAGACCATTGTTAGCAACAGTAGTGTTAAAACTGTACTAAAATA